TCATGCATTACTAACCAGTTAGACTTTTTTTTGTCATGCATCAAAAAATTTCTTATTAAGAATTAACAGAGATTTAGATGTTAATGTTTATTGAAAATAATACAATTTGAAGTCACCGCTGTGGAGATAAGTGTTTGCTTTAGTTGTGCTCTTGACCCTTGAATTGCCAAATTTAGTTTTTTTCTGGTTGTTGTAACTGTTTATGAAACACATTGGTTACGGTAAGAAAGAGCAAGCGTAAATGTGATCAGATTATATCGGCTGGTATTTATACGGTTGTAGTTGTCATGCATGGCCTGATTCATGGATGTCAACAGTGGTAATGTGTAACATAGCTTAAGTTATTGATCACACCTGCATTTCAAAAAGAAACACGAAGAACTTTAAAAACACTTTGCACACCAGTTTAGAACATCTGTTCTGTTTAAACACGCAGACATCAAGAATCAGCATATGAATCTCAACAATGGTGATGATCATCAGACAGATTCATGTTGCAGTGCATTCTGGGTGCACAAATCATAACTCATCCATGGCTCCCAGCATGCATTGCAACATGAATAAATTATGCCGGTGCATTGTTTTAGGATTTTCTTTTATTCTTACTATTTGCTTTTATTTTTGTTGTGACTTTTTACTGCCTTGTTTTGTGACGTTCAAAAAACATATCAAAATTATCAGAATATTTAGTCACCATCGCTGAGATTCACATGCTGATTCTTCATGTCTATGAGAGCCAGAGGCTAAACCTCTCTATGAACTATATTTTTTAAAAATGGTTCATTTAGTTTTCTCACATGGTCTCATACCATAAAAGCACTGCAGATTTAGATAAAATGCAATAAGAAACTCACACGCATGAAATGGCATTAAGTTTCTTGCCATCACATATGAACTTTATAAACTCTATTGATACAGCAAAAGAAGTTCTAACTCTTAAAAAGTCAAAGGTCAAGAGGCAACTAAAGCAAATGCTAATCACCAAAACGGTAAGTTGAAAAAAAAATCTAAACCTTAATTCTCAATAAAGAACTTCTGTTTTAGATACTCCAGAAATAAAGTCTAACTGGTTAGTAATGCATGAAGCTGGTGATGCTGTTTGTGGAGTTGTTTAATCCTCCTCTGCTGAGATCTTCAGAGATTGAATGTGTTTTATTTCAGTTGATTTCATCTAAGGCTGTGACTGGGAGTCAGTTGTAGTTGTGTTTCTGTTCATCTCTCTCTTTTTTCTGTTTCTCTTTCCTTCAGTAATTCTGCTTGTTAACATTCTCATTCACTTCAACTCTGCTTCAGTGTTACTTTAACACTCTGTATTGTGGGACCAAATCCACTCTGGGCAGTGTTGATCCCTGAAGGTCCTCCAAATAATGTCCCCCAACCCTTCAAAGAACTCCACATCATGAGCATCTCGGGAAACGTTCTGGGAACATCATTGACACCAGCGGGACATTCTGAGAACGCTCTGGGAACACTACATTTCTAGCGGGGAAATCCATTTACCTGACATGAGTGCATCCACGTCATCCACCGATGAAAAAAGAGGCACATATTTGGTTAACAGCTTGTGGAGCGACATAGGCAGCAATGTGATTGGATGATAGTTAACACATATTGTGTTGGACACACTGTGTTGTTTCTCTCTCTTTCTTTTTACACATGATCAACTGAAAAGTTACACAAAATGTGTTAAAATGGCCATAACACAAAAAATGTGTTATTAACTAACACATCCTATTTGAGAGTGTATTCTGAATGGTTGATAACTTTTGACAAAGTTTGATCCAGGAGCAAAGAGAAATAATTTCTACTTTAAAAAGCACAGAGAGATCACAATTGCACACAGTCTGAGTGCGCACAAGCAATATCGGAGAGACAGGACAGGCAGTTGATTTGTATAAGTTAGGCCTATTTGAGAGCTCGCATCCAGTTGTCTGCGATTACATCACTGTGTTCTCATGTTACAATAAAGCACTCACCACATTTGCGCGGGAATTATTAAACTATGCGCAATACCTGCAATCCCGCGTGGATATTCAGACTCTGTAATCGACAGGAGCAGGATGCGTGTCAAACTCACTCAGTTTCTGAGCGCAGACACTGAAGCACACACACAGAAAGCGCCTCTCACAGCGCGCGAGTACTCTTTCGCATCGCATGAACGGAGAATCACACACAAAATGATGTCAAATTGTCCGTTTTGACGAGTATTCACATAAACACAGTTGATTACGTCTTAAGTGACCGTAAACAGTAGGGAGAACGTGTATCAGTACACTGCATCCACTGCAGCTGTGCATTCGGTTTTTTAAGGGATAGCAGCCTAATTTAGTTGCTATTGTCCAAGCCATTGATGTTAATCAAGCAACAAAAGAAAGACATAAAATCATGCACTGCTCTTGACTGAACAACTTTAGTAGCCCTAACGATTAATCTAAATTTAATCTTTAGATCTTAAATTTAATCTTTAATCTAAAGAAATAAATATGTCTGCTTGAAACAATGAAGAATATGGTAAACAAGTTGCTATAAAGAATGCATAATTAGCCTAAATAACAATTGGTATTTCATTAATGCATAATTAGCCGATATAACCATTGGTATTTCATTAAAAAGAAGACCATGTTCTTGTTCTTTACGAGAAGTGGTTTTATTTAATTTTATCATAAAGGCTTGTTGTGTGTCACCGCAGTTAAATCAGTGTCTATCATGATAAAACCTTAATATCAAGCCAATATAATGAGTTTTAGAGAAATGCTTAATAAATGCACTGTAATTAAACCCATTAGATTTTAGCCGACTACATTTACTGTAGATTAGTCGACTAAAACTAGACTAAAACTAAAAACAATTCAGATGACTAAAATATGACTATAACTAAATTACATTTTAATAAAAAGACTGTGACTAAAACTAAATCAAAATTTGCTGTCAAAATGAACACTGCTGATCAGCTCTTCAACCCTGCAGCAGCGGCGGCGGCTTTTCCCGGTTCAGATATCAGGGCTTTTATTGGTCCGTTTATGATCGGATATCTTTATTGGCTACTGAAGTGCCGTCAAAGGTTTGAATATCAATTTAAATTGTGGGAGTACTCAGTAATGAACTATGATTTAAAAGTAACGAAGTAGATTATATATTATTATTATTTTGCCTAATTTGTACTTAAGTACAAGTAAAAGTACAGCTTTAAAAATATGCTCAAAAAAGTACAAGTACTCGAAAAAACTACTTAATTACAGTAACGTGAGTAGTTGTAATTCGTTACCTCCACCAGTGGTAGGGTGTGATTTGAAACACAGCCTCTGAGTGTCGACTCTGAACGCTGTTACTACAAGGACTGCAGAAGGCTACTTTCTCGAAAACAACAAATATTACCCAGAATACATTGTTTTCTACGTGAGTTTTTGACTGTTTTAATGAAAAAGCAGTATGTTACTGTCAGAATATGGCTATTTTTTACAGTGTGGCTTTGTAGTGTCCATTGCAAGTGTATTCATTATTGTGTTTGTCTTTTGGTTAGTATACATTTTTTATTGTTTCTTTTTAAAATTATTTTATTTTTTAATCAGTTTAATGATTTAATTGAAGTGTCTGTGTTTGCAAAATATTTGCAAAATATTTCTCAATCTAAATGATGTTGCAGTCCTGCTGAGTTTAATAATATTTGCAGTCCTGTTAAATGTTTGCAGTCTTGCATTTGCTGAAAAATTTAAATTGAGTTTTGTTGATGCCTTGCTGTGTCTTTGTTGACAGTTTTTATAAGCGCATATGGCACATTTTTGTGGATAAGGCATTTAAAATATATTAAGTGTACGGTAATTTATAGACTTTTACTAGTGATGCACGATCATGATTTTTCATAGCCGATTCCGATACCGATTTTTTACAAGCAAGCTGGCCGATTCCGATACCGATTTCCGATTTTATTAATTTTTATCAAGCAACAAACAAGAAAGAATAAACGTACACATAAGCAAAATGTTTATTTGGTATTTAACAGGCTAAACTGGGTTTTGGCTTTTGAAAACAACAACTGTAACCATCTGAAATTAACAGCAGTAACTGCACAGTAAATAGGCTACATTCAATAAAAACATAGGTAGGCCTACTGACAAAAGCATTTAGCTTTTGTTTTTAAATTGGGTTGAAACTATAAACTGGCCTTAAATGAAAACATTAACAGTAACCATGTAATTTTAAAGGCAACAACTGCATAGTTCCACAATCCAAACAACACAATCAAAACGCATTCAAACGCACTCGTTTTTAAATTTGGTGTAAAGAAAAAAAGATCTTTACCAGTGAAACGAAATAAAACCAAAGTAGGCTATATAAATAAATTATTCCAAAATGTTAACTACGACAGGTGCGTTTTAAATCACATTAAGTCAATGTAATTTTAAGGTAAAATAAAAAATATTAATCCTATAGCCTACAGAACCGACAGTAATGAACTATGATTTAAAAGTAACGAAGTAGATTATATATTATTATTATTTTGCCTAATTTGTACTTAAGTACAAGTAAAAGTACAGCTTTAAAAATATGCTCAAAAAAGTACAAGTACTCGAAAAAACTACTTAATTACAGTAACGTGAGTAGTTGTAATTCGTTACCTCCACCAGTGGTAGGGTGTGATTTGAAACACAGCCTCTGAGTGTCGACTCTGAACGCTGTTACTACAAGGACTGCAGAAGGCTACTTTCTCGAAAACAACAAATATTACCCAGAATACATTGTTTTCTACGTGAGTTTTTGACTGTTTTAATGAAAAAGCAGTATGTTACTGTCAGAATATGGCTATTTTTTACAGTGTGGCTTTGCAGTGTCCATTGCAAGTGTATTCATTATTGTGTTTGTCTTTTGGTTAGTATACATTTTTATTGTTTCTTTTTAAAATTATTTTATTTTTTAATCAGTTTAATGATTTAGTGTTAAGTGTCTGTGTTTGAAAAATATTTCAAATATTTTTCTCAATCTAAATGATGTTGCAGTCCTGCTGAGTTTGTTTAATAATATGTGCAGTCCTGTTAAATGTTTGCAGTCTTGCATTTGCTGGAAAATAAAAAATGAGTTTTGTTGACACATTGCTGTGTTTGTGGCTTTGTTGACAGTTTTTATAAGTGCATATGGCGCATTTTTGTGTAGAAGGCCCATAGCATTTAAAAATATATTAAGTGTACGGTTATTTATAGATGTTTACTGAGACATGAGTGGCCATTTACGGAGCTTTAACTGCTTGTACCCTGGATTTTGTGGAGACTTTACTTCTCATGTACAGGGATGTATGTGGATTTACTGGTGACTGAGTAAACATTTACGTCCGTGTCCAGAAGTTTATCGCATAAGTGAGTGTACTGGAAAACGGCCGCACACAAGAGAGTCAATTTCTGTCAGTGTCCAGAAACCAGAAGCGCCAGGGCACATACACGGAAACTGCCAGAAACGTTCCCTTTACGGGTTCGTGCGCTGACCATTGCAGTGTCCATTGCAAGTGTATTCATTATTGTGTTTGTCTTTTGGTTAGTATACATTTTTTATTGTTTCTTTTTAAAATTATTTTATTTTTTAATCAGTTTAATGATTTAATTGAAGTGTCTGTGTTTGCAAAATATTTAAAATATTTTTCTCAATCTAAATGATGTTGCAGTCCTGCTGAGTTTGTTTAATAATATGTGCAGTCCTGTTAAATGATTGCAGTCTTGCATTTGCTGGAAAATAAAAAATGAGTTTTGTTGACACATTGCTGTGTTTGTGGCTTTGTTGATAGTTTTTATAAGTGCATATGGTGCATTTTTGTGTAGAAGGCCCATAGCATTTAAAATATATTAAGTGTACGGTTATTTATAGATGTTTACTGAGACATGAGTGGCCATTTACGGAGCTTTAACTGCTTGTACCCTGGATTTTGTGGAGACTTTACTTCTCATGTACAGGGATGTATGTGGATTTACTGGTGACTGAGTAAATATTTACGTCCGTGTCCAGAAGTTTATCGCATAAGTGAGTGTACTGGAAAACGGCCGCACACAAGAGAGTCAATTTCTGTCAGTGTCCAGAAACCAGAAGCGCCAGGGCACATACACGGAAACTGCCAGAAACGTTCCGTTTACGGGTTCGTGCGCTGATGTGAACAGTCCGGAAATGCGCCTATTCATGCAGTGATGGTGACAATCAATGCAAACCTTTTTTGTGACTTTTGTACCTTGTTGTGTGATGCTCAGAGTTGACCTATTTACCAGAATAATTTTTTGAGTTTCATGTGCAGATTCATGTCTATGTAATCCACTCACAATAGGTTTAGCGCAATGTTTCAAGAACTTTCACAATGACATAACATTTCAAAAGTATTAAACCTAAATGACACACTCCAGATGTGATTTGCAATCACTGCTCCAAATAAGAATTCTCATCTCCCTAGAGGTTCTCAAGTGCATACAGCTACTACAAATGTGCTTTACAAATGCACAGTTATAATAAACACAAACAGATTTACGCTGAAATGTCAAGGATCAAGAGCCCAACTAAAGCAAATGCTTATTTCCACAACGGTGATTTCAAACTTTATTATTGTCAATAAAACATCAACGTCTAAACCTGTATTAATTCTAATTCAAAATAAGCAGTTTTGAATGAAAGAAACTAAGTCTGACTGGTTTAAGTGAAGATGCTGAGATCTAGCGATATCTGTTAGTGTTTAATGTTCTGTTGGGATTTGAAGGGTTTCTGTTGTCTGAGTTTTGCGGGTCACCATTGTGCTGACGAGTAAAGCCCGTGCTTCAGTCCAGGAGAAGACCAAAGAACAGTGATGTTATGCTGCATGTAGCTTTTTTTAAAAGCGGCAGCTGTGGAGTTGCTGACGCAGTGATAGTTACATTAGTTCAAGCATGTGTGCTGTTGTTAGCTATGTCTAACTGCAAGAGCTGACTTAACATTTTTTTTTTTGTATACTCTAGCATACTAAATGAGAATTACACCACAGTGTGTCAGCAAAAGTCCACTTGATGGTGCAAAACTTGACGTAAGTCGTAAACTTTTGCTGAAAAATAAGTGGGGATATCTGTAAGGAAAAGTACACGTGGCTCTTTTACAAATATAGGGTTGTATTTATAGGGAAAGTGTGGAATGTTTATCAGTTCATGAACAGTTGAACTAAATTCTTTATTCATTGCTTCAATGTCTATTGTGGAGATTTTAAAAAATCCACATTAACACATAATGCCTTAAATAAGCAGTTTTGAATGAAAGAAACTAAGTCTGACTGGTTTAAGTGAAGATGCTGAGATCTAGCGATATCTGTTAGTGTTTAATGTTCTGTTGGGATTTGAAGGGTTTCTGTTGTCTGAGTTTTGCGGGTCACCATTGTGCTGACGAGTAAAGCCCGTGCTTCAGTCCAGGAGAAGACCAAAGAACAGTGATGTTATGCTGCATGTAGCTTTTTTTAAAAGCGGCAGCTGTGGAGTTGCTGACGCAGTGATAGTTACATTAGTTCAAGCATGTGTGCTGTTGTTAGCTATGTCTAACTGCAAGAGCCGACTTAACATTTTTTTTTTTGTATACTCTAGCATACTAAATGAGAATTACACCACAGTGTGTCAGCAAAAGTCCACTTGATGGTGCAAAACTTGACGTAAGTCGTAAACTTTTGCTGAAAAATAAGTGGGGATATCTGTAAGGAAAAGTACACGTGGCTCTTTTACAAATATAGGGTTGTATTTATAGGGAAAGTGTGGAATGTTTATCAGTTCATGAACAGTTGAACTAAATTCTTTGTTCATTGCTTCAATGTCTATTGTGGAGATTTAAAAAAATCCACATTAACACATAATGCCTTTCATTGCTGCAGTTTATTGAAGTTTATTGTTGATTTGCATCCATTGTAAATTTAAAGAAGTGACCCAAAAGAAAAAAGAAAAAAATAATCGATGAGAGTTCACAACAGCCATATATATTCTTACATGATTCACCACACAGTTACACAGTTAACAGAGTAAAGCAAAAAACACTCAAGCCATAATTTGATTTAGTTTTTTGTTTCTGAGAAACAATGAAATGTTTCTTCATAGGTCTAAGTCACACGTCTGATCTTCATGCTGATGGCTTTCAGACTGAAAGAGAAATTGACACACACATGATGAACACGTTCAACCAAACACTGGACATGAACATCCACACAAACACACACACACACACATGATGAACACGTTCAACCAAACACTGGACATGAACATCCACACACACACACAGATGAAGAACACGTTCAACCAAACACTGGACATGAACATCCACACAAACACACAGATGAAGAACACGTTCAACCAAACACTGGACATGAACACACAAACACACACACACTGTGAGATCTTACCCAGCCAGTATTCACCCTCCACAATCCCAAATCCTCTCTTGTAATGATTCCACGGCCGATAGAAATTCACACTGCCGTCCATTCTCCTCTGAATCACCTGTGATGTGTTTATATAGAAGATATGATTCATAATGAATGTTCTGATGTGTGTTTAATGATCTAAAGTCACATTCATACCGTCCATCCTCCTTTGTCTTCATCTTTCCCATCTGAGATCATCTCACAGAAAACCCAGACAGGAAAGTCACCTGCTGGATAGATGGAGTAAATCCCACTGACTGTTTGTCCTGATTTATAAAGGTCAGAACAGTCGACTGGCATGTCTTTATCCTGACTGCATCCGCTCACCAGAACAACAGAAAGAATAGCTGCCAGAAACACCAACATCTACACAAGATAAAAAAAGAGATGAACATCACATTGTAATGAAGCTTAAAATGTCTCTGTGAATGTAGTTATTGATGAACTTACTGCCATCTTCTCAATCTCTCCTCAGTAGATCACAGCAGAGATCTGTTTTATCTAGATGAAAATAATAGAGACATTTTCATTATATTTATTTTGTGAAAGTTGTATAAATGTCTGAATGTTCAGTAAGTAAATGAAGAATAAAGAAGTATCTCACCGTTTATGTTATTCGGTCTTACACACCAACACTGTTTATATATGTCAGATTCTCGGGCTCCTCCTCTGTTTATGAAGAAATTTACATTATGAAGAACCGCATTTTGCATGCCATTTAAAAAAAAAAAAAAAACATTTGTCATGCATAATGCAAGTTAAACATGCAGTGACAGATACGTTTAGAGATTGCTAACACACTATAACTGGTTCAGTTGACCGAACTTTCCAAACCAATTATTCAGTTCTCAAACAGACATGAATGAACCAAACTGATGACACCAGTCAGAATCTCAGGATAATATAAATTGGTTCACTGCTGATTATGTGCTTTGGAAAATGAATCCTAGTGGTGGGAGACAAAGAGAAAGAGTTGAAGAGGAAGGGAAAAGATAAATGAAGGGAACTCTAGATGAGAGAACTTTCACTGTTCTATGAATACTGCAGCACATGTTGTACATCCACAAACTCATAACTGTTGAATTCAGGGGCGACATTTACCCTGGGTGTTCGTTGCCATACGCTAGGTGATCACCTCCCTCACTGCCAGAACCTAATACCATACCCAATGGTAGACGACTGTCTGGAGGAGCTAGAGAAAGTCTTTTGTCAGAAGACTAAAAACTGTCATAATATGGCAGAGGATGATGTATTTAATTTAATTTGTTTTACTGTACAGCAGAGGTGTAAAGTCCAGGGGTCAGAAAGTAAAAGTCCTGCCATACATTTATTCCACCCATGAACACAGACAGCTGATTTCAGCAGAGGAGGAACAAACCCTGCTTCTCAATGTTAACTCATTCACTGTAACCATTAGAACAACACTTTGTTTGAATGCTGTAGATTCACAGGCTTGATTAGGCAAAACCCAAACATACAAAAAAATAAGTAAGAACTCATGCAAGAGTCAAGGTCAAGAGCACAACTAAAGCAAACACTGATCTCCATGATGGTGCCATCATTTTAACCAATAAAACATCAACATCTGATCCTCTGTAATTCTCAATAACAGCAGGTGTTCATCACTAATGCACAATCATCATTTAATTACTCACTTAATTATCTCATTAACTTTAACTTAACTTGGGATTTGACTTGTGACTTGAAAGGAATGACTTGGTTCCTCCTCTGCTGAAATCAGCTGCTGAGTTCATGGGTGGAATAAACATATGGCAGGACTTTTACTTTCTGATCCCAGGACTTTACACCGCTGCATGTCTCTTGCTCTAGAGTCTAGACTTTAGAAGACACGAACAATTACTCTTTCCATCCAGTTTCACGTGAAGCATACTGGGAATTGAAAATACTGTAGCTCTGGTGAAATCCTCCATGAGCACTCAGAAAAATGGATTAAAGAAGAGAAAAGTCCTGGAGAACAATGTGCTGGACTCTGAGTCACGGCAGTCAGCGGATTTTCCAAGATGATAAACACCAAAATCAAACATCAACCGATACTGAATCGACCAGATTAAATCTTTTGTTTAACTGGAGTTTGCGTGATGAGACTATGTTAGTCCAGGATGTGCTGTAGGAGGAAAACAGCATTTGTGTTTAAACATCTGGTCCGGATGTGCAGCATGACTGAATATAAACAAACTTTATTTGTACTTTTTTTTGCCCATCAATCACATAGGAGACTTAATATTTACCTCTTTTGGGTCTTAATTAGGAGACGACAAATATGTGAAGCTTTGTACCGTGCAGGTTTTATTGATCAAACAGTAAAACTAAAACAAGCCATCTGTGGATGAGAGGGTGAGGACTGATGGGACGTTGATGTTGTCATCATGTGCAATCCAGCGCTGAAATTCAAGCCCTGATGTTATTATATAAATTACATTATATGATTGTTTAGGGATGGAGCTAAACCGTGCAGGACAGTGGACCTCAAGAGGAGGAATTGCCCACCCCTGATAATGAAGACGGGACTGTTCAGAAACATAAAAATACAAGAAATGTCTGTGTCTCAATTTTAGGACACTTAGACATGCCATACAAGCAGCATATTTTGAATATTACATAATTGTTTGCATCAAATAAAAAGTAGAGTTATTGATGACTTCCCTGATATCAAGCAACCATTGAATCAATGACTTGTCAGTGTTAATTGCACTGAATCAACACCATTTTTGCACCCACAATTAATGTTGAAATTTTTTTTAAATTTCAACAAATCACCATTATTGTGACTTTAGTGGTGCTCTTGAATTGTTGCACTTTAATGTTAGAGATTCATTGTCTTTTGTAACAATGTGTTTAAATGTATTTGTGGAGGCAATGAAAACTAAGCTATGATAAGAACAAAGAATTATTTTTGAGGTTATTCAAACAGTTGCTCATAAGTGTGTTGTGTTTGTATTGTGGTACTAAAGCAGTAGTACAACTATCATGCATCTATAATCTAACAGAAAATTCTAAAAAGATAGTCATTAAAATGCTGAATCAATTAGCCATTAGTAATGTGAAACTCAACAATGGTGACCATCGACAAAAGAACATTTTATGCTGAAATGCATGCTGTGTATCAACGTAGTACAAAACTCATTCATGACTCCCAGCATGAATTATACCAGCATCAAACTAATTCATACACCAATGGAAAGCTTATTTATTCAGCTGTCAGATATTGTACAAAATCTCAATTTCAGAAAATTGGCACTTAAGACTGATTTTGTGGTTCAGGATCACATAACAGTAATGAAAGATCAACTTCATCACTTTCAGCATTATTTCTCAAGTTTATTAGAGCTTGCCACCTACCACAAAAAGTAGTCTGCTTCCACTTAACTTTAAAACTCATCTTTCTTTATTTAATGCATAAGTGTTTATATAGAAACATTATTGTAAACACCCAAACAGAGTTAAAGCAAGAGTCAAGAGCGCAGCTAAAGCAAACACTGATCACAATAATGGTGATTTGTTGAAACTTCAAAACTTTTTCAACATTAATTGCGGGTGCAAAAGTGATATTAATTCGGTGCCATTAACATCGACAAATCAACCATTTTTAACATTGATTCAAGGGTTGCTTGCTATCAGGGAAGTATGCTTCCATGTTGTTTAAAACATGATCTTCAGCGAAATCTAAAAAATGGAAAATCTATTTGTACAACATTTGTAAAATGTCTATTTAAAATTAATCATGCTGCACATGAACAGATATTTTCCTTAAAAACACAATGGACTAATGAAGGGGAAACACTGATGCGTTTTTTCCTCCTAAAGCACATCCTGGAGTAATGTAGTGTCATCAAACAAACTCCAGTTAAACAAAAGATGGGTTGACTCAGGACTGAGAATAGCGATGTTCAAGGTTTGTCCTCTTAGAGCAGGATCCGGGACCTCTCGGTTTTTGACTGTCTGTGTTCCAGTACCTGTTTGCACGGATCTAGTATCTCTCATCAGAAGAGGTACCTGCAAACAAGCCTGCACTGGCCCTTTATGGGCTGCCAGCGCAGGGCCCCTGAGAATTTGCTCATTGGCAAAACGTTGGCTCCTTAGCACTAGCCCTGCACGGGCAGCCCTCACTTAGCCTCCAGGGGCCCGTTTCAGAAAGGAGGTTAAGTGAAAACTCTGAGTATGTTAACCCTGAAATGAGGGAAACTCTGGGATTTCCGTTTCAAAATGGGAGGTTTGTCAAACCCGAGAACGCAGAGTAGGTCAAGCCTGTTTCTGAAAGAGAGGTAACTTATACTCAGAGTCAGTGGATTTTACACCTCTGGTTAAATTTAATTAATAATATTGCTTGTAATATTTTGAAACAATTTTATTGAGTAAATATAGTGCATCATTTTTTAGAGTGTAGGTTCAAGGAGGGATTTATTGTCCCAATACAGCAGCATCCATTTAATAATTTTAATAAAAATGATAATTTACACATGTTATTATAGCATACTGTCTTATAATGTACTACAATACTGAGGTGCAGATTTCCACAAGATATGCCACTATTTGCACATAGTATAAATATCATCTAACTGCTATTTACACTTATTGCAGAGAAAAAAAACGGTTATTTGTACAGAGTAATTCGAATCTATCACTATTTGCACTTAGTGTCAATAGACACTTCCTAAATTTATAAAAAATAATAAGCAATGTTTGCTTTCACAGGTTTCTTATCAGATGCTGACTGAACCAATATTTTATGTCCTGAATAAAATGACATTGGAACATTTTTTCGTTGCTGTCCTTAAGTTGGCTCAGTTACAGGCAGAGGTGTAAAATCCAGCGGTCAGAAAGTAAAAGTCCTGCCATATGTTTATTCCACCCATGAACTCAGCAGCTGATTTCAGCAGAGGAGGAACCAAGTCATTCCTTTCAAGTCACAAGTCAAATCCCAAGTCCTCAAAGAGTTAAAGTTAATGAGATAATTAAGGGTCTAATTAAATGATGATTGTGCATTAGTGATGAACAGCTGCTGTTATTGAGAATTACAGAAGATCAGATGTTGATGTTTTATTGGTTAAAATGATGCCACCATCAGGTAGATCAGTGTTTGCTTTAGTTGTGCTCTTGACCCTTTTAGGAACTCAAAGTAATCTGCTTCTAAGTGATTGCAATATTGTTGTACAGCAGACATTTGTACACTGCTGAATCAAACCTTGAAGTAGCAGATGAGTAACTCATGATTAATGAACATCATGAAGTGATCTCTCACTGGTTTATTGATTTCACTTAATCATATAGAAACAGCTATTATCTCATCACTGTCTTACAACACCTCATGCATGTCTATAGAAAGAGAGAGAGAGATCTAACACAGGGGTCAAGTGTCAAGAGCCCAACTAAAGCAAACACTGATCTACCTGATGGTGACATTTCAACCAATAAAACATCAACATCTGATCCTCTGTAATTCTCAATAACAGCAGGTGTTCATCACTAATGCACAATCATCATTTAATTAGACACTTAATTATCTCATTAACTTTAACTCTTTGAGGACTTGGGATTTGACTTGTGACTTGAAAGGAATGACGTGGTTCCTCCTCTGCTGAAATCAGCTGCTGAGTTCATGGGTGGAATAAACATATGGCAGGACTTTTACTTTCTGACC